TTGTATGAAATGAAATTTACTAGATAGCTTTGAAATTTTTAAAAAGGTTTATTTTCATATACTTAAAAGGTAGAGCAACAGATGGTGAGGGGGCAGGGGAAGAGATGTATCTTCTGTCCACTGCTTCACTCCTCCGAATGCCTATGATAGCCAGGATTGGGCCCGGCCAAAGCCAAGAGGCTGCACTTTAGCTGTCATTGGCTGCCTTCCAGGATGCAGAAAATAGAGTGACTGCTGCTCAAACCAGGGATGTGGGCATTGCAAGTGGTGGCTTAATCTGCTATACTACAACAGCTTCTCCCTAAAATTTCTTTTAGATTTATTTATTTGAAAGTCAGAGTTACACAGAGAGAGGAGAGGGAGAGTAGAGGAGGAGAGAGAGAGAGAGAGAGGGAGGGAGGGAGGGAGGGAGGGAGGTCAGTCGGTCTTCCATCCACTGGTTCATTCCCCAAATGGCCGAAATTGCTGGAGCTGTGCTGATCCGAAGCCAGGAGCCAGGAGCTCCCTCCAGATTTTCCCACACTGGTGCAGGGGCCCAAGGACTTGAGCCATCTTCTACTGCTTTCCCAGGCCACAGCAGAGAGCTGGATTGGAAGAGGAGCAGCCGGGACTTGAACTGGCGCCCATAAGATGCCAGCCCCGCAGACACCTAAAATTTTTTTAATGTTAAAATATCACTTAAGTTTTATAGAGCAATATAGCTCATCTGCCAGAAGTGTGGTTTTATATTCACTGAACATTTGGTTGTCTATTATTCTAGCATTCCTCAAAAGGTTAGGAATTATGTAAGTTTTACTTAAGTTTTTTGATGTTAAATTGTGACTTGCAACAATGGAAGAAGTTTTTCTTCTTATAAAGAAATAACTGTTAATTATAAGCTATACTTTAGGTATTTCCAAGTTATTAAATTATTAAAAATGCATAATTGAATACCTAAGAGAGACTACTAATGAAATTTTAGTTTTTGGCTTATTAATCTTTCAGAAAAATTAGATATTAGCAGCAGTAACGTCTAGAAAGTCTGTTATATCTGCATCTTGAACATATAGTGAACCTTCTGTGGGAGGAGCTGTATTTTTTTTTTAATTTCTACACCTGTTTCTGTTGATTTTTAATATATATATATTTATTTATTTGAAAGGGCTACAAAGAGAGAGGAAGAGACATGCACACACAGATCTTCTACCTATTGGTTCATTCCCCAGATTCCCTTTGTGGCTAGGACTGAACCAGGCCAGGAGCCAGGAGCTTCATCTGGGTCTCCCACATGGATGCAGGGGCCCAAGGACTTGGGCTGTCTTCTGCTGCTTTTCCTAGGCCATTAGCGGGGAACTGGATCAGAAGTGGAGTATTGGGGATACGAACCAGTGCCCATATGGGATGCTGGCACCACAGGCTGCAGCATTACCTGCTACCCCACAATGCTGGACCTGAAAAGCTTTAGTTCTTGAATTTTCTAGTGCCTCTCCCTCAGGAGTTTTGTTGTAAGGATCTCTTGTTGCATTTAAACTATGGGGTTAAATTTTTTTCACGCCTGCTAAGTTGTGATCAAGTGTTTTGGAATGATGCCTTCTAAGCTAGGTGTAATAATCAAACTTGAATATGTTGTCTAAAATATTTGAGAGGTATATTACAGAATTTCAAGAATTTGTTTTTGGAGAATAATGTGGAGTAGTTGAAATGGGAATGTGGTGCCTGGAAACGATCAAATTATTGTGAAAATGTTTAGCTAGTTCAATGAACAAAATTTACCAAGATTTCTAATAAATATTAGTTTCTAGGCTAGTCACTGCTGATTCTAAGGCTTTTAAGGTATGTTTCCTTTGTAATCCAGTGGAGACAGACCCATAATGATAGGTGTGTAATAGAAGTGGAATGCATGGGGACTCCACAGGGGAGGCGCCTAGCCCCGATTAGTTGGAAGAAGCAGGATGGTCAAGTCGGGAAAGAAGTCATGTCTGCTTTTGGGAACAGATGGGATTTGTGCTGAATTTTGAGGGGAAAAAAAAATCTCACTTCTAGGATTAGATTTGTCAAAGTAAGAAGTAGGGCAAAAGTATTCTGTTATAAGAAACAGGATAATAAAGAGCATAGCAGTTTTAGGGGGCTGGCGTGGTGGTGTATTGGGTAAAAGCTGCAGTCTGCAACGCTGGCATCCCATATGGGCTCCACTTTGATCCTTCTCTCTGCTATGGCCTGGGAAAGGAAATGGAAGATGATTAAGTCCTTGGGCCTCTGCATCCATGTGGGTGACTGAGAAGAAGCTCCTGGCTTTGGCTTCAGACCGGCCCAGCTCTGGCCATTGAGGCCATTTGGGGAGTGAACCAGCAGATGGAAGACCACCACTCTCTCTGTCCTCTCTCTCTGTAAATTCTGCTTTTCAAATAAATGAATATTTAAAAAAATTCAGGAAAGCTGCAAATCAGTTATTATAGCTGCACAGGAGGGTGCTTTTGTGGTGGTATGCGAGATAGAGGGGAACGAGGGCTGTTTAAAGCTTCCCCTCAGAGCTGTGGCAAGCCGCTCATGCTCAGACTTGGCGTTTCACCAGGATCGTCTGATGGTGGTGTGATGAGAAGATTCGAGGCAAGAAGTCAGGTTCAACGCTTGTTGCAGCCATTAAAGTCCACAGTGTGGAGATGCAGATGAGTTAGGAACCAGCCAGGCCTGGTGATTATATGATGAGGAAATGCGAGTCAGCCAGAGCAGCAGGGTTCAGGGTGGCTTGGTTTCTGATCTGGACACCAGGGTGGGTGGTAGCACCATTCTTGTGTTGCACAGTGCTTAGGAGGATTGGTTTGAGGGTCACACTGGGAGGTCAGATGGTGATTCAGGTTCGCTTAGAGTGGGTTTGGAGAGCAGGCATTAAAGGCATCTGCCTGATGGTTGGGTTTAAACCTGGGACGAGAGGTTCACAAGAGGGCAGCCTCACCAGGGAGGGTAACAAGGGGGTAGCTGGAGCTGTAGTCTGTGGTTGATCTCTCCTGGAGAGGGAGGAAGAAAATTACAAGAGTACATCTTTATGAAAGTCATGAAACAGGGAGTTTAAAGAAAAGAGTTGTTGGGGGAAAAAAGGATGAAACAAATTTAACCACAGAGACCACAAAGAGAGAAAGAATGCACTATATCTTCTCTCTGAGGAAGATTTTATTTTAATTTAAATGGAAGGTAGAGGACAGAGACAAACACCAGCGAATCTTTTTCCATGTCTTTTGTCCTTGAATGCACAACAGATGAAGCTGTGCCAGGCTGAAGCCTGGGACCTGGAACTGGGTCTCCCATGTGGGGGGCAGTCACCCAAGTACTTGAACCATCATTGCTGTCTTCCTGGGTCTATATTATCCAGAAGCTAAAATCCAGGGTTGGATGTGGGTATCCCAAGTGGTGTCTCTAACTATTACATAGTAGCCAAATACCTATCCCTAAAATGCTTTTAAAAAGTGCTTTTATTCCCTCCTAGGATTTATATTACTTTCTTTATAAACTACATACAAAAGGAGATCTCAAAAGAAAGTTCAGGCCAGCACCGTGGCTCACTAGGCTAATACTCTGCCTGCGGTGCCGGCACTCCAGGTTCTAGTCCCAGTCAGGGCGCCGGATTCTGTCCTGGTTGCTCCTCTTCCAATCCAGCTCTCGGCTGTGGCCCTGGAAGGCAGTGGAGGATGGCCCAAGTGCTTGGGCCCTGCACCCGCATGGGAGACCAGGAGGAAGCACCTGGCTCCTGGCTTTGGATTGGTGCAGCGTGCCGGCCGTGGTGGCCATTTGGGGGGTGAACCAACGGAGGGAAGACCTTTCTCTCTCTGTCTGTCTGTCTGTCTCTCTCTCTCTCTCTCACTGTCCAACTCTGCCTGTCCAAAAAAAAAAAAAAAGTTCAGTAATACCAATAAAAAATAGCCTTTTCTGCAAATGGATGTATAGATTTTGAAGCAATTTAGTTTTTTCACCTGTATTTTTTAAACTTTGAAAGATAATGTTCCCCTTACTTCCTTTCATGTTCTCAGTACCATTTCAGAATGGCAAAGAACTGTCACTTAGTTTAAATCTTTCTTTTACTTCATATTCCTTTACTATGCAAATGAATCTAGGGGGCTGGCGCTGTGGTGCATCCAGTTAAGTGGAGCACCACTTTGAGTCCTGCCTGCTCTGCTTTCAGTCCAGCTCCCTGCTAATGTGCCTGCGAAAGCAGTGGAAGATGGTCCAAGTACTTGGGCCCCCAACTACCAGTTTGGAGTTTCCCTGCTCTTGGCTTAAGCTGGCCCTGCCCTGTCTGTTTGCAGCCATTTGGGGAGTGAACTAGCCGATGGAAGATAATCTGTCCCTCTGTCTCTCCCTCTCTCTCTGATGCTTTGTCTTTCAAATCAGTCAATAAATAAATTTAAAAAAAATCTTGGTTCTCTGTGTTTCTTTCACACACTTACATTCTCTTCTCATGTGCACACGTGGAAGTGTGAGTGAGTGCAGCAACTGTTGTCTAATAGGATGAGCCTCACCTGCTCCATCCACAACGGCTGTATGACATCTGCCTACATTGTGGATACTGTTCATTAGTGTTAAAAAACAGAAATTTTGTGGCTGGAATCTTCTGCTAGGATCAAGATGGGAAGCAGTCTATTTAAACTCCATTGGCCTGGTTCCAGGTGACTTTAAAATCTTAATTGTGTCTATAATGTGTTCAAACAGACTTTTAATTAATTAGTACATAATATTTTATTAATTGATCATCTTTTATTTTTAATACTCAAGCATTTTTGAATGTGTGTTTTCTTCAACACAATTATGTATGAAACTTTATGTGACTTGTGGGAGTTTATTTGCTTAAAACGTTTGTCTCCAACTGGTATGAAAGACAGTAGATAGTATGTAGGCTTTATTTTTTGACTCAACAGAGTACAAATGATAAGTTTAAATTCTTGCCGTGTTCACAATTTATTTTGTTTGACGCTTCTAGTTTTATGTTTTTGATGTAAAGTATTCAAACGAGTTTTCTACTTCTGATGTAGGTTCAACCTTAAAGTGCAGTTGCAGATTCTAGCAAGCTTCATGCTCACTGGAGTTTCTGGAGGGGCAAAGTATGCTCAGGATGGACAGCTTTTCGGTCGTTTTAAGCTTACTGAAACACTTTCTGAAGATACTTTGGCTGGACGACTGGTGATGACCAAAGTCAATGCCGTTTACTTATTGCCAGTCCCTAATGAGAAGTTAGTACAGACGCAGGGAACCAAAGAGAAGGTTTTTGAAGCTACCATTGAAGAAAAAACAAAGGAATATATATTTTTAAGGATATCCAGGGAATGCTGTGAAGAACTTCATCTCCGGCCTGATTGTGACACACAGGTATGTTTGAAGCGCAGCTTCATTGTTTGTCTGTGTCTTGTCGTCCGCTTGATGTCCTTGTGTGCTGCTTTTCCTTCTTCCACCATCACCAAAAGGGTGGTGACTTTGAAGTAATATGTAGAAAGTTCTGGTTTTATCGAAGGTTGAGGTTTTTGATTAGAGTTAAGTCAGCAGTGGAAAAGGAGATGAAAATAAGCTCTATTAAGCTCTCTCCCGGCCATCTCTCGTGTAGCTGTGTATGCTCCTGTGCTCTTTGTCTTTATGAGCTTTTGGGTGAATCCCATGTTTAATTTGCTAGATTTAACTAGAGAGCTAATTTTTTTCTTTCTAAACATAAACCTTGGTGAATATTATTCATTCATAGTTAATTGGTACAGTGTCATAGGGCTGGTATCACTGAAAGTATGGTATTTTATACATGTTCTGTTGAAATTTTTTTAAAAAAAGTATTCTTCATAGGAATGGTTCAGAGTTCTTTTATTTAGAGATTAATATACAAATACTTTAGTTTCTTAATATGTAAAATGAAGTTAACAGTATTTACATCATTGGTATTATTAAATGAGATGATCTATGTAAATTACTTATTCCAGTGCTAAATAAACAAAGAAATATCTGTAATAATTATTATTAGAATATGGTTACTCTTTTAAAAAGAAGCTATAAAATTGTAAAGGCAAATGTTTATCTTCACAAAGTATTTTAGTGAACTGCCAGCATTAGTGTTTGCATTAATCCTTTTTCTGTTTTAAATGACTTTTGTGTTACAGGTGGAACTTCAGTTTCAGTTAAATCGATTGCCTCTCTGTGAAATGCATTATGCACTAGACAGGATCAAGGACAATGGGGTTTTGTTTCCAGACATCAGTATGACTCCTACGATACCGTGGAGTCCCAACAGGTAAAGAAAGGAGATATCTTATTGAAGGAAGTCACGTTGATGTTAAAATTGACTCTGTATCAAGTACTCAAGCATGCTTTCGTACAGAAAGGGGACATCTTGCAGTTAAGAAAGGAGAGGACAATGACCCTCAGAGTGAAGCGTCTGAGGTGCATCCTGTGATGTCTCCTGTTTTCCTCAGGGTCTGAGTTCGGCTGCTTTTCTCAACAGCTCTAATTTGACAGGATGCCAAGCAGTTAAGGGATGTTTCCAAGTATTTTTTTTTTTTTTATTTTTTTATTATTATTATTTTTTTTGACAGGCAGAGTGGATAGAGAGAGAGACAGAGAGAAAGGTCTTCCTTTGCCGTTGGTTCACCCTCCAATGGCCGCCGCGGCTGGCGCGCTGCTGCCGGCGCACTGTGCTGATCCGATGGCAGGAGCCAGGAGCCAGGTGCTTTTCCTGGTCTCCCATGGGGTGCAGGGCCCAAGCACCTGGGCCATCCTCCACTGCACTCCCTGGCCACAGCAGAGAGCTGGCCTGGAAGAGGGGCAACCGGGACAGAATCTGGGGCCCCAACCGGGACTAGAACCTGGTGTGCCGGCGCCACTAGGCGGAGGATTAGCCTAGTGAGCCGCGGTGCCGGTAGAAGCTGAGTGAGAAAATTAGGGCCTCTCTAAAGTGGTACAAATAGTTTATTTAAAATAATTTTGAATGTAAAGACATTTCTGTAATTTATCAAAATGGAACAAGATGGTAGAGGCTGCTACTTCAGAAAGTGCTCCCAATTTGATGGTTTCAAGAATATTGTTCTGCTTGAATTCTCTTTGATACATCTTTATATCAATTAAATAACATGCTTCTATTTTGTTTTAAGAATAGACAGAAGTGGTAACTGTGTGATTGCATTTTTTATTTCCATTTTTTTCACTGGGTTTTATCCCCTTGGCCGCTGCCCGAAGTTGTCTCATGACATCTTTTTGTTTTGTTTTGTTTTTAAATCTCAATGACTCCACACAATGGAAATGTATCATTTGTATCAATCCAATCACAGTAGGGTGTCCCTGATCCATGACTGATGGAGACTTTGGTATCTTCAGTATGTGGTTTCCAAGGTCACCCTGAGTGTTGACATCCAGAGATGCCCATAGAGGATGAATGAGCATGGGTGTCATGTGGGACATTTTTATGGGCTAGGCCTCCAAGCGGTGTATATCACTTCCTGTCACATTCCATTTTTGTGATTCTAAAAACAAAACAAACCAAAATATGCAACACAAAAGCCAAATCATTTCTCCCTTGTTTTCGCTTACTCTTGCTGCTCTGTCCTGTTACTGCCTTAAAAGTGAATAATCTGCATATTTCCGGTATTTTTCTTCACACATTATATAATCTCTATTTTTCACTTGCTCATTCTCCTGAAAGTAATCAGCTATCTCCCGATTGTAAACACCCCGTCACGTCTCCTCAGCTCTCATTTGATTTGGCTTCTAGGTATCCCTTTCCTTCTTTCTGCTCTTAGAGACAGTGTCTCATTTAAACCTGACTATTTCAGTAGCCTTCTAGTTGGTCTTGTGTCCTGTTGATTGTGTCCTTGTTCTGTGGTCCAAGTCACAGATTTCTCCCAGAGTTAGTGTCCTACGACAGTGATGTCATTTCAGTGCCCCCCGGTCTCTGCAGGCTCGCCTTACACAAACAAGCCCTTGTGGTCTGGTCTGGTACTCTCGGAGAATTTTTACCTTTTCCTACCTGACACTCCCAGCCTCTGTCTGCATCCCTAGGCTCCAGCCAAATTAGCTACCTTGAAGTTTGTTTAATTTTCCCCTACATATTTGCCTCCTTATCTTTTTCTTATTTTGTTTTTTTAAAGGTTTATTTGTTTATTTGAAAGGCAGAGTTAGAGAGACACACACAGAGAGGTCTGCCATCCACTGGTTCACTCCCAAGATGGCCTCAATGGCCAGGGCTAGGCTGAACCGAAGCAAGGAGCCTGAAGCCTCATCTGGGTCTACCACGTGGGTGGCAGGGTCCTAAACTCTTGAGTCATCTTCTGTTCCTTTTCCCAGGCCATTAGCAGGGAGGTGGACTGGAATGGAGCAGCCAGGACTTGAACAGGTGCTCATATGGGATGCCTGTCCTGTGGCAGCCTAACCTGTTGTGCCGAGACGCAGGCCCCTTATTAAAAACAACAACAGCAACAGCAACAAACTTTTAAAAATTGTGATGAAATCCAATCACTATCTTAAGTGTTTTAAATATGCAGTTCAGTAGTATTAAATATAGTAAAGTTGAAGAGGCTTTACGTTTTTATAGCCAATCTCCAGAACTTTGTCATCTTGCCAGACTGATGCTGTCCCCAATCCCTCCTTCCCTGAGCCCTGGCCCCTCCTCCTGAAGTAACCTTTGACCCTTGTCAGTCAGTGGGGACCTTCCTGTCCTTTACGGTTCACTGGGATTCACGTGTTCCCCTTGGTAGGTTTTCCTGCGCCTTCCATTTCCTTGTTGTTGCAGGTGCTTACCGAGTGCCTGCTGTGTACTAAGCTGGTAAGTTTTGGTGCTTTCAGACACAGTTTCTCTCAAACTCATTTTTGTCAGTTTGTCATTTTTGTCAGTTGTGTGCATTTCTACTTTTCTTGTTAGGCTCTGAGCTTTGTAAAGGAAGAAACCATGTCCTATTTATCTTTGCACATTATTTATATTTGACACATTTACATTATTAAGAATTGCAATCAAGTCTAAAGAAGAAAATTAGGATTTCAAATGTAAGGCCATCCTAGTAAACTTTAGATAATTTTACTTAATGTGTACACTTCTGAAAATTATATTGCATTTAGCGTGCTCTTACTACTGATTCTAAGTGTTAACCGCAAACATAACTAAGAAAATGTCACGCAGCAGAAAACTTTGAAGCCAAAGGCTACTCTACTTATGTAACTTAAATAGTAACTAAGGGTGGGCATTTGGCACAGCAGTGTCGTATAGATGTCCATGTCAGAGGGCTTGGTTTGAGCCCTGGCTCCACTTCCAGCTCCAGCTTTCTGTGCATGCTGGGTGTTGGGCCCCTGACACCCAAACAGGAGACCTGGACTCAGTTCTGGGCTCCTGGCTTTGACCTGACCCAGCCTTGGCTGTTGTAGGCACTTGGAGAGTGAATCAGTGGATGGAAGATCTCTGTGTCTCTCACTGTCATCTCTCTCATCTCTCTGTCTCTGCCTTTCAAATACAATAAATAAATAAATACATTTTTTTAAGTTAAAAGAGATGTATGTCTAGGGATAGTGTCACTGTGCATAGCTGTTTTTTGTTTTTAAACCTAAAATCTTTTTAATTTCAGAAAAATAAGTAATGGCATATTTCTGTGGTCCAAGTTTGTCTCCTAAGATTCTTAAGGAGAATTTTGTTGGTTTGAGATTATGTCATAATATAACATTAATTATAATTTTTTTTTTTTTAAAAACGGCGGCCATTGGAGGGTGAACCAACGGCAAAGGAAAACCTTTCTCTCTGTCTCTCTCTCTCACTGTCCACTCTGCCTGTCCAAAAAAAAAAAAGTTCAGATTTTCCATAAGTAACAAGCTGCTGATGTAAATAGTGTAGCATCACACAAAGGGATTTTCCTGTCTGCATTCTGTCCTTTTGCACGCACTTCGATTGCAGATTTTCTGAGCATCTCTTTACACTCCCTTCCTGTTTTGGTTCACATCTGTCTCATTTTCCCCCTACTTGTTGTAGAATTTAATATTTTAATTGTAGTTGTGAGAAAGAATGCTGTTGATTGTCCACTTGGTTTGATCTGTTTCAGCATCTGCTGTCCATTTAAATCTTCAGAACTTAGCGAAGGCATTAGAAGGGCCACTAGTAAGAGGGATCCCGTTACAGGCGCCATCTATGTTCCTATGACAGGCGTGCCCACCTTGAAACATAGGATATATGTGTGCTACTTGTGTATTTGCAGGCAAAAAAACTAGCAAACATTCAAATTGTTTGGCATTTAAGTCTTTTTTTTTTTTTTAAAGATTTTTTTTCTATTTGTTTGAAAGGCAAAATCAGAGAGAGAGAGAAAGAGATCTTCCATTTGCTGGTTTACTCCTCATATTGCCCAAACAGTAAGGTCTGGGCCAGGCCAAACTTGGGAGCCAGGAACTCCATCTTGGTCTTCCATGTGTGTAGCAGAGAACCAAATACTTGGGCCCTCTTCTGCTGCCTTCCCCAGTGCATTAGCAGGAAGCTGGATAGGAAGTGGAGCAGCCAGGACTTGAACTGGCATTTGGATGCCGGTATCACAGTGCTCCTTAACCTACTAGGCCACAACACCAGCCCCCTGACCATACTGAAAACAAATAAACTAAAAACTTCTATTTTCAAAACTAAGGTCCTTTAAAAATTTTATATTTATTTGTTTTTTTCAAAGTTTTTTTTTTAATTTCCTTGAGTTACAGAGTGTGAGACAGAGAGAGATCTTTCATCCGCAGGTACACCCCCAGATGGCTGCAATGGCCAGTGGTGGGCCAGGCAGAAACTGGGAGCCAGGAGCTTCATTCAGGTCTCTCATGTGAGTGCAGAGGCCCAGACACTTGGGCCATCTTCCACTGCTTTTCCCAGGCCATTAAAAGGGAGCTGAATCAGAAGTGGAGCAGTTGGAGCACGAACTGGCACCCATATGGGGTGCCGTTGTCCTAGGCAGTGAATTTACCCACTAAGCTATGGTGCTCGTCCCCAAACTTTGATTTTTTTTTTGGTCCATAACTGAGATTTTATTGGTGATGAGAATCAGCACACACGTTTTAATTTGTACACAATTCTTAACATACGTACCAAAAATCTAAAAAGCCATGAATTGTCATTCTTTTTTTAAAAGTTATTCCAGTGACTTTCCAGCTTCAAATTTGGAGGCAACTCTTCCTTAAGAGGCTATCAACAAGTATCTTCAAATGTTGCTGTTACATAAATGCCACCCATTCACAATATAATAGCATATACACGACACTCAAATTTTCAGTCTTTCACGGCACATTAACAAAATCATTAGGAAAACTGGACTACCACAACCGAAGATGTTACAGAGTGCACATGGTTCTGACAGAACAAGGAGTGGTTTTCTGTAGGAAACAATTCTACAAAACATGGGAGAAGTAACTGAAAATATTCAAGATAGATTAAATGCACAATTGAGACTCCAAATTGCCATTTAGTATGCGTTGTACTGTAGGATATAAAAACCACCCCCACCTATGGTTAAGCTGACACCCAAGACAGTCGAAGCCTCCCAGAATTCAATATGCCACTATTTTCTGGTTGTACCAAAAAATAAACAACCAGCAAATGATTTCACCTCTTAAAAAAAATCATTTACACTTAAAAAGTGGGATGAGGTGGGCTTCCCTCCTTCTTAAAAATGTTTCTAGAGCTACTAAAAAACTTATATTTACAAAATAGTTGATAAAAATATTCCTCTGGATTGTACAAGAAGGGAGACAGGGACCACTGATAACACATGGTGTATGGTATTAATCGGATTTGGCTTCTTTTTCTTCTGCTTCATCAGAGGCTGGACTCTCCTCATTTTTCGTTTCTCCGTTTTCTGCAGGCAGGTCTTCTTTAGCTTCTTGGTTAGCCACCTCGGCCTGTTTTCCTTTTGCTCCTCTCTTCCCCTTTGCTTGCACTTTCTTGTCTGATGACTTATCCTTCCCGGCGGCCTTCTTGGGCTTCGCCGACGCGTGCCGACCTCCTCTTGGGCTCCTCCTTGGCCGCCCCCTCGGCAGAGCTGACCTTCCTCTTGTGCATTCTGACTGTGCGGAGGGCGCGTGCCGGGTGCCTGCGGGCCGCATCGCGCTGAGGGCCTTCGCGGAGCTGGGCTGCCTGGCCGCTGCCGCTGCTCCCGCCGCCCGAGCTGCTGGGACCCGCGGCGGGGGCGGTGGGAAAACTTTGATATTTCTTAGTTAGGAACACACAGGTTTTTTTTTTTTTTTTTCTTTTCCTTTTGTTTTAAGCCTTACTAAGAGGCTTTCAAAGGATTATCATTTGAAATTCAGTTAGTTTTTCTACTGCATTTTATTTGCTATGTGAAGAAACTACTACTTATTACCAGAAAAGTTTTCTGATGCTTTTTTTGTAACAGAGGGAAATTACATTTTTGAAACAACGCCATTACTTCTGATAGATTGGATATCAACAAACTAGAAGTGTGTGATTTCTTTAAGCTAGTTAGTTTGCCAATCTTTTTGCACTTGGAATAGGACAAGTAAACTTATTTTTGATTTACATGGTAAACCACCATGTGCTGACTCTGTTAGTTCATTTTCTAAAATGTAGTTTTAGAATAAGTATTAGTTATTATAGATGTGATGTTATTTTAGTAGTTTTAGATGGTTCAGTGAAATTCAGGGTACTTTTGTGTCATGTCTGTTCATTAATGAGATGCACATATTTAAAAAAGCTTAAATTCTTTTTTTCCATAGACAGTGGGATGAACAGTTGGATCCTCGACTAAATGCAAAACAGAAAGAGGCTGTTCTGGCCATTACCACTCCACTTTCAATACAGCTGCCACCTGTTCTAATCATCGGACCCTACGGGACAGGCAAAACCTTCACTCTCGCTCAGGCCGTCAAGCACATACTGCAGCAGCAGGAGACTAGGTGAGAGGCTGGGGTGTGCTCAGAATTCACCAGCAGGTGCTACCCGGTTCCTGTTTAAAATACAAAATGAGGGCTAGGCAAGACAATCTTTACTTAGCTTTTAAAATTAATCAAAAAAAAAAAAACAAAAACAAAAAAACAAAAAACAAACCTAAACCCCAAAGCACTAAAATTTGAATTCTTCTAAAACATACTGTGTTTCAAAATTGGCAGGGTAGACAATGGTAGTTTTTAAACAGCATTTGAAACTTAAAGTCTGTGATATGTATTAAAGCTAGAAGAGTTGAGTTTAAAAAATATGTTTTTAAATGATGAATTTAAAAATAATTTTTGGAGAACTTCCTTTATAGCTTAAAGAGTAATGTAATTTCCTAAAGACATCATCGAATAATGTTAGAGATTACTGAGAAGATTGAGGGAAATGTGTATTAAGATGGCCACTGCTTTTTTTTTGGTGTTGTACTGCTTGAATAGCTTTGTGTTTTATCATTCTTTTTATTTGCACCATTTATTTCAGCAGGATTCTCATTTGCACCCATTCTAATAGTGCTGCTGATCTCTACATAAAGGATTATTTACATCCATATGTAGAAGCAGGCAATCCCCAGGCAAGACCTCTCAGGTATTTCTTCAAGGCTTATTATGTATCTGTGTCATACTTTATTATTCTTAAGAAAAGGTGTCTATAAAGATGTTAGTAACTTTGGAAATACCAAAATTTTTCACTGTGCATTGGCATTTAGAGGTTATGTCGTTTGAAGACATCATTTAAATTAAGGAAATACGTAAAAATCTTTAATCATTCATTTCTTAAACATTAAGCGAAGAGAAAGACATCCTTTTTTAAGTTTTGTGTGTAAAAATGTTGTTAGAACCTGAGTAGATTTTGGTATGTACCTCTAGAAGCTAGCATGATAAAATAATAGGAATATGATGAATTTAAATCAAATAATTAAGATTTTTGTACATTTGGCGTGGCAGAGTAGTCATGCAGTGATGGTTCTGTCTGGAGACAGAAGCTTGACTGTGATCATGCAGGTGTTTTCATGGAGCCGCACATCAGAGAAGCGTGAAACGTGAAGTGACTGCTGTGACCAGATGGAATGAGTATTTAACTTTTCGCTACCATTTGAGAGACATAGTGTTAAAGAAAATTTTAGGTTGATACAGAAAAGTTTTTTTGAGTATATATGGACATGAAACATACTGAAATACAGAAGTGTGGGGGAATACAAATCCCTTTCTTCAGAAAACAATAATCATTAAATGACTTTCTATTATGCCATTTGCTTTCATTGTTATATGAATTAATATTTAGTTTTGTCATTTTACAGACTGATATGTCATACCCTAGATTGTTCAAGAATAATTATTGCTAACAAATTAATTTCTAACCACACTTTTGAATCACGATTCACTAACTTTTTAGCCCAAGCATAGAACAATGAAATTATGCTATTTAATTATTTAGTAACTGTAACCAAAGCCATTTTTTTAAGATTCCATTAGAAAGAAAACAACAGAAAGAACAGTGCCTGTGGCCTGTTAACATAGCTTTTCATGTCATACTTTGGTTTCACTCTGGAAAACAAAACAATAATAATTATTTCAAGTAGGATCTTTTTTATTTAGTAAAATATCACAGATATACAATCAGTTTAAATAAAAATGTATTTATTGAATGATAAATTTATCAGTAGCCAGTTTGCTTCTGATTCTAGTCTTTAGTCTTTTTTTTTTTTTTTAGAAGATTTGTTTCATTTATTTGAAAGGCCAAGTAAGAATTGGGGGTGGGGGGGTGGAGGGGGAGAGAGAGAGAGAGAGAGAGGGAGAGAGAGAGAGAGAGAGAGAGAGAGAGGTCTTCTATCTGCTGATTCATTTCCCAAATGGCCACAACAGCAAGGGCTGGGCCAGGCCAATGCCAGGAGTCAGGAGCTTCTATCCCGTCTCCCATGTGGATCAGGGGCCCAAGTACTCGGGCCATCTTCTGCCGCTTTCCCAGGCACATTAGCCAGGAGCTGGATCAGAAATGTAGCAGCCAGGACTTGAACCAGTACCCACATGGAACGCTGGCATAGTATAAATGGTGATTTTACCTGCTTTGCCACAGCACCAGCCCCAAGATTCTAGTCTTTTTTAGCTCCTAAGTGAAAATTGAATAGGTAGCATTTGCTGTGAGGATTCTTATTTTAAGAGACAAGCTGTTTGTTTTGTTTGTTCTTACTGTTGGTAGCGGGTTTGTGTGTGTGTGTGTGGTGGCAAACAAGATGGTTTCAGTTGTTACGGTGCGCATGGCTTGGAAATGGTGTAGACCCCTCAAATCTTGGGCAATTTAGCTTGGGTCATTTGACATTTAGGATTGTGGAGCTGTTGATGAACATTAAAATCTTTGATTTTGCTGGGGGATATTTAGTCTTCTCTATGTAAACTACTTTTTGGACATTATCATCACAACATGTAGTGCATCTAAATATATAGAATAAGATGCGGTATTCCAATAGGGTGTGTATATGGTTGGGGAGGCCCAGAAACTTGCCCTCTAACAGAAAAATCCCCCCGCTCTAGAGTGATTCAGTCCAAGATGGAAAAATACTTTACTATATGCAAATGCAAGTGTCATGTTATTTCAGTTAGTAGATGGAATAAGAAAAAAAAGGTGAACTTCCTCAAATATTTTCTTTGTATGACCTTACTTTTCATCATTTGGAAAAGGTTACTTTTCACCTTTTTGGAAGAGGTTTGCTTGCAAATATATTTCTTAACAGGATGAAGGTACTGAATTGTTAGGATTTATTAGCACCATCTATTAGTATATTAACATTAATTTGTAATTTTCCTAATGGATAACAAATGTGATCATGGCTGAGTGCTGTTGGAGCTCAGCTTTGTCTGACTCTTCCCAGGATGCAGCAGGAACACAAGAGGGCACTGTGTGTCTGCACTTGGCTTTGAACCAGTGTGGGTACAGTGAGGAGGACTCTGCTGTTTCCCAGCACTGTGCGGTCCAGACCAGGCCCTGAAGAGCATTATGGTGTGAAAACTGTCACAAACTTTGTACAGTAAATGTTTATGGTTACACTTTATAAATTCTGTTAGCTGCCAGGAGTTTTAAACTGAGCTTTAAATATTGGGATAGAGGTTTTAGCAACCATTTAAGATTGATTTTCAGTTTTTACTTCTTCGTTAAAATTGCAAGATTTAAAAATAAAATAGAAGGAAAACCAGTTTCTGTGTATGGTTGTGAGGCTCAGTATCGGGTTCTGAAGAAGCTGACAGTAGATTGGGGACATCGTGGAGAAAGTGTGTGTAGACTGCTTTCTGGGCAAACTGAAAATATTTATCATTTTATGTAGGTCTTTAAAGAAACAGATTTCCCTCTGGGATGAAACCTTTCTGATCTTTAGAATCTGGAGTAATAACATTTGGGGAGGGAGTTGATTATTTTATATGAATTCAATACATAAAGAAAACAGTGATATATAATCAGACTGTCTCTTGTTTTAAGAATCATTGTAGTTTATCCAGATCCTTTGTAGAAAATAGGTAAATGACTTAAGCAGTGTCCTTATAAACTTGAAAGTATCATTTGTCACCATCAGTTCTCTGACTTTGAAGGATGTTAGGCGTGTGTGTGTGTGTGTTCTTTAGAGATACATGAATTTATTTGAAAAGCAAAGTGGTAGAGAAGGAGAAGACAGAGAGATCGATCTTCCATTTACTGCTTAATTCCTGAAGTGCTCACAACAACCAGGGCTGGGTCAGGCTGAAGCCAGGAACCAGGAACTAAGGGGCTCAGAACTTGAGCCATCATCTGCTGCTTCTCAGGCACATTAGTCGGGAGCTGGATCAGAAAAGTGCTCCAATAGATGGGCTGTGGACATCCCAAGCTTAACCCGTTATGCCACAATACCAGCCTCCAGTTGCCTAGGTGTGTGTGTGTGTGTGTGTGTAAGTGTTTTAAGATTTATTTATTTAAAAAGCAGAGTTGGTGGGGTGGGGGGAGTCGCAGGGAGGGAGAGAAGGAAAGGGAGGTCTTCCATCTGCTGGTTCACTCCCCAAATCAGCGCGTTACCATGGAGCTAGTTTGGTATTAGGGCAGCAGGGCTCCAGCTGGCACTGGTATGAGATGCCACAGGGGGCAGTTTAACCCACTACACCCTAATCCAACCTAGATGCATTTTTTATTTTTATTTATTTATTTTTCAAAGATTTATTTATTTATTTAAAAGGCAGAGTTATAGAGAGGCAGAGAGAGAGAGAGAGAGAGAGAGAGAGAGAGAGAGGGGTCTTCATCTGCTGGTTCACTCCCCAGATGGCTGCGATGGCTGGAGCTATGCTGATTTGAAGCCAGAAGCCAGGAGCTTCTTCCCCATCTCCCACATAAGTGCAGAGGCCTGAGGACTTGGGCCATCTCCTACTGCTCTCCCAGGCCATAGCAGAGAGCTAGACCAGAAATGGAGCAGCTGGGACTCCAACCAGTTCCCGTATGGGATGCCAGCACTGCAGGCGGCAGCTTTACCTGCTATGCCACAGTGCCGACCCTGGTGTATTTTCAATAATCTTTTTAAAGTCAGCACTAGAACATTATATTTTTAAGAAAATAGGTCCAGTGATGAAGCTTTGTATTGTTTTCTAATTTGAGAGGGAGAGAGAAAGAAAGCAAACGCACAGTCTCCCATTCACTGATTTATACCCCAAATACCCACAATTTGGTTTCTGGGACTCAATCCTGGTATCCAGGTCTCCCATGTGGGTGGCAAGGGCCCAATTATTTGGGCCATCACTGCTGCCTCCCGCCTAGGGGATCTGCAGCAGCAGGAATGTGGATTCAGAAGCTGGAGCCAAGAATCAAGCCCAGGTACTTCAATAGAGGCTGCTAGGCCAAACGCTTGCCCTGAACTTTGTATTTTTGTGTACTGATTACTTCCAACTTGAGGTTGCTTCCCAAGATAATTGTGGAAAAAGTCAGTAATGAAGCTTGGGCCTTCAGTTTCATTCCTTTCTTTCCTTTTTTTTTTTTCCCCTTTGAGAAGAAGAAAATGCTTGGAGTTAGTTGATAAGTAATTTAGAAAACTGCTTATTTCAGTTTTGCAATGAAATGTTTGTTGAAGAAAATAAAAATTATCAAAAATCTTAGCAGCCAGAGAAAAATACTACTAATATTTTGGAGTTTAAATTCTTGTTATTTACATACTTGATTTATTTATTTACTTTTAGGAATTTATTTTTATTTATTTGAAAGGCAGAGTTAGAGAGAGGAAGAGAGGTCTTCCATCTACTGCGTCACTCCCCAGATGACTGTAACAACTAGGGCTGTAGCAGGCCAAAGCCAGGAGCTTGGAGCTTCTTCTGGGTCTCTCATGTGGGTATAGCAGCTTAAGCACTTGGGCCATCTTCTGCTGCTTTCCCTGGAGCATTAGCAGGGAGCTGGATTAGAAGTGGAGCAGCTGGGTCTTTAACCGGTTCCCATTTGAAATGATGGCCATAACACCAGCCCCTACATGCTTAATTTAAATAGCCCTACTAAATACAAATTATAGCAGATAATTTATAAATGAGATTAAGTGAGATTTAAACTATATTTTGCATTGCTGATGATAATATGTAATATTTTTGCATCTT